TATAGTCTAGTCTATGGTCTAGTCTGTATTCTAGTCTACAGTCTCGTGAATAGTCTACTGTATAGTATTGTCTATAGTCTAGTCTATAGTCTAGTCTATAGTCTAGTCTATAGTCTAGTCTATAGTCTAGTCTATAGTCTAGTCTATAGTCTAGTCTATAGTCTAGTCTATAGTCTAGTCTATAGTCTAGTCTATAGTCTAGTCTATAGTCTAGTCTATAGTCTAGTCTATAGTCTAGTCTATAGTCTAGTCTATAGTCTAGTCTATAGTCTAGTCTATAGTCTAGTCTAGTCTATAGTCTAGTCTATAGTCTAGTCTATAGTCTAGTCTATAGTCTAGTCTATAGTCTAGTCTATAGTCTAGTCTATAGTCTAGTCTATAGTCTAGTCTATAGTCTAGTCTACAGTCTAGTCTAGCCTATAGTCTAGTAAATAGTCTAGTAAATAGTCTAGTAAATAGTCTAGTCTATAGTCTAGTCTATAGTCTAGTCTATAGTCTAGTCTATAGTCTAGTCTATAGTCTAGTCTATAGTCTAGTCTACAGTCTAGTCTAGCCTATAGTCTAGTAAATAGTCTAGTAAATAGTCTAGTAAATAGTCTAGTCTATAGTCTAGTCTATAGTCTAGTCTATAGTCTAGTCTATAGTCTAGTCTATAGTCTAGTCTATAGTCTAGTCTATAGTCTAGTCTATAGTCTAATCTATAGTCTAGTCTATAGTCTAGTCTATAGTCTAGTCTATAGTCTAGTCTATAGTCTAGTCTATAGTCTAGTCTATAGTCTAGTCTATAGTCTAGTCTATAGTCTAGTCTATAGTCTAGTCTATAGTCTAGTCTATAGTCTAGTCTATAGTCTAGTCTATAGTCTAGTCTATAGTCTAGTCTATAGTCTAGTCTATAGTCTAGTCTATAGTCTAGTCTATAGTCTAGTCTATAGTCTAGTCTATAGTCTAGTCTATAGTCTAGTCTATAGTCTAGTCTATAGTCTAGTCTATAGTCTAGTCTATAGTCTAGTCTATAGTCTAGTCTATAGTCTAGTCTATAGTCTAGTCTATAGTCTAGTCTATAGTCTAGTCTATAGTCTAGTCTATAGTCTAGTCTATAGTCTAGTCTATAGTCTAGTCTATAGTCTAGTCTATAGTCTAGTCTATAGTCTAGTCTATAGTCTAGTCTATAGTCTATAGTTTATAGTCTAGTCTATAGTCTAGTCTATAGTCTAGTCTATAGTCTAGTCTATAGTCTAGTCTATAGTCTAGTCTATAGTCTAGTCTATAGTCTAGTCTATAGTCTAGTCTATAGTCTAGTCTATATCTAGTCTTAGTCTAGTCTATTAGTCTATTCTAGTCTATAGTCTAGTCTATAGTCTAGTCTATAGTCTAGTCTATAGTCTAGTCTATAGTCTAGTCTATAGTCTAGTCCTATAGTCTAGTCTATAGTCTAGTCTATAGTCTGTCATAGTCTAGTCTATAGTCTAGTCTATAGTCTAGTCTATAGTCTAGTCTATGTCTAGTCTATAGTCTAGTCTATAGTCTAGTCTATAGTCTAGTCTATAGTCTAGTCTATAGTCTAGTCTATAGTCTAGTCTATAGTCTAGTCTATAGTCTAGTCATAGTCTAGTCTATAGTCTAGTCTATAGTCTAGTCTATAGTCTAGTCTATAGTCTAGTCTATAGTCTAGTCTATAATCTAGTCTATAGTCTAGTCTATAGTCTAGTCTATAGTCTAGTCTATAATCTAGTCTATAGTCTAGTCTATAGTCTAGTCTATAGTCTAGTCTTAGTCTATAGTATAGTCTATAGTCTAGTCTATAGTCTAGTCTATAGTCTAGTCTATAGTCTAGTCTATAGTCTAGTCTATAGTCTAGTCCTATAGTCTAGTCTATAGTCTAGTCTATAGTCTAGTCTATAGTCTAGTCTATAGTCTAGTCTATAGTCTAGTCTATAGTCTAGTCTATAGTCTAGTCTATAGTCTAGTCTATAGTCTAGTCTATAGTCTAGGTCTATAGTCTAGTCTATAGTCTAGTCTATAGTCTAGTCTATAGTCTAGTCTATAAGTTAGTCTATAGTCTAGTCTATAGTCTAGTCTATAGTCTAGTCCTATATCTAGTCTATAGCTAGTCTATAGTCTAGTCTATAGTCTAGTCTATAGTCTAGTCTATAGTCTAGTCTATAGTCTAGTCTATAGTCTAGTCTATAGTCTTAGTCTATAGTCTAGTCTATAGTCTAGTCTATAGTCTAGTCTATAGTCCTAGTCTATAGTCCTAGTCTATGTCTAGTCTATAGTCTAGTCTATAGTCTATAGTCTATAGTCTAGTCTATAGTCTAGTCTATAGTCTAGTCTATAGTCTAGTCTTATAGTCTAGTCTATAGTCTAGTCTATAGTCTAGTCTATAGTCTAGTCTATAGTCTAGTCTATAGTCTAGTCTATAGTCTAGTCCTATAGTCTAGTCTATAGTCTAGTCTATAGTCTAGTCTATAGTCTAGTCTATAGTCTAGTCTATAGTCTAGTCTATAGTCTAGTCTATAGTCTAGTCTATAGTCTAGTCTATAGTCTAGTCTATAGTCTAGTCTATAGTCTAGTCTATAGTCTAGTCTATAGTCTAGTCTATAGTCTAGTCTATAGTCTAGTCTATAGTCTAGTCTATAGTCTAGTCTATAGTCTAGTCTATAGTCTAGTCCAGTGGCTGCTCAAACACATACTACCATAGTTTTATTTGTGTTGGTAAAGCAGCAGAGAACAGAATTTAATTCAAAAATAAAAGTATACTAATAAAATGACTAACAACTATAAAGTATATGCTAACTGTCAAATATTTATTATGGATTTTGACAGCCAGCGTATAGCAACGTCTATATATAAAAAACTATCAACTGTTCTCGTACATTAATTCGGCTTTCTCAAAATTTTGTTGTTGTATTTCTGTGTGTATTTTAAAAACGTCGCGCACAGACCTTGCTTTGGCAAGTGCTGATCAGCAACTGATTTGATTTTGTTTTTCAAGTTGAGAGCAAACCAACTGATATTGCTCATTATAAAAAGAAGAAGAATTAAACCTATAGTGTATGTGTATCAACTTAGCGTCAGCAGAATTTTCTTACCCTATCACGCGTGCTATGACACGGCCATATTGAGCTTCTCTGGTCTAGTCTATAGTCTAGTCTATAGTCTAGTCTATAGTCTAGTCTATAGTCTAGTCTATAGTCTAGTCTAGTCTAGTCTATAGTCTAGTCTATAGTCTAGTCTATAGTCTAGTCTATAGTCTAGTCTATAGTCTAGTCTATAGTCTAGTCTAGTATAGTCTAGTCTATAGTCTAGTCCTATAGTCTAGTCTATAGTCTAGTCTATAGTCTAGTCTATAGTCTAGTCTATAGTCTAGTCTATAGTCTAGTCTATAGTCTAGTCTATAGTCTAGTTATAGTCTAGTCTATAGTCTAGTCTATAGTCTAGTCTATAGTCTAGTCTATAGTCTAGTCTATAGTCTAGTCTATAGTCTAGTCTATAGTCTAGTCTATAGTCTAGTCTATAGTCTAGTCTATAGTCTAGTCTATAGTCTAGTCTATAGTCTAGTCTATAGTCTAGTCTATAGTCTAGTCTATAGTCTAGTCTATAGTCTAGTCTATAGTCTAGTCTAGTCTAGTCTATAGTCTAGTCTATAGTCTAGCTATAGTCTAGTCTATAGTCTAGTCCTATAGTCTAGTCTATAGTCTAGTCTATAGTCTAGTCTATAGTCTAGTCTATAGTCTAGTCTATAGTCTAGTCTATAGTCTAGTCTATAGTCTAGTCTATAGTCTAGTCTATAGTCTAGTCTATAGTCTAGTCTATAGTTTCTGTTCTAGTTCTGTTCTAGTTCTGTTCAAGTTCTGTTCTAGTTCTGTTCTAGTTCTGTTCTAGTTCTGTTCTAGTTCTGTTCTAGTTCTGTTCTAGTTCTGTTCTAGTTCTGTTCTAGTTCTGTTCTAGTTCTGTTCTAGTTCTGTTCTAGTTCTGTTCTAGTTCTGTTCTAGTTCTGTTCTAGTTCTGTTCTAGTTCTGTTCTAGTTCTGTTCTAGTTCTGTTCTAGTTCTGTTCTAGTTCTGTTCTACTTCTGTTCTACTGCTGTTCTAGTTCATTTCTACTGCTGTTCTAGTTCTGTTCTAGTTCTGTTCTAGTTTTGTTAGCCTGGAGTGTTGCTTATATTGTGGCCTGTGGCCTATTGTCTTCCATTGTTTTCAATAGAAGTGTTTAAAAGTTTCATTTTTGATTGCTTGTCTTGTATTTCAATTTTTTGTATTACATACCATGAAAAAATGTAGCAAGTGTCTTGTCCAGATAAAAACTGTATATTATATAAAAAAATTTAATAGTTGTAATATTTGTTGTACGTTTTTTTGTTGCTTCAGGCAATGAAGTGTTTTTTTCAGTGATCTACGACACTTATCAGGCCTTAGGCTCAAACCAAAATGTGTGACCATTTATGTCTGTGTATTGTTTGTAGTAAGCTGTTAGTATTTAGCGGCTAAATGTTTTTTTTATAGTATTGAGTAAATATTTATTGTTAGTGTTTTTTAAAGGTCTAATTGCAACAAAGTTATTTGAAGGAATTTTTGTATTTTATTTTTTAACTAATTAAAGTTTATTGATTAGCTGTTTGTGATAGAGAATTTTTAAGAATTGTTAGGTGGAAGTGGAAGTTTTCGTTTTGTGGTTTGTGTGAAAATATTTAAGGAACAGGTAGATTTAGATTATGAGGAAATTAAAAGTCAAGACTAATAGTAAGGCTGTTATTTTGCCCTTAATTTTCTTAAACTTTTTGTACAAATTTATTAATTTATTTAATTTCTTTTTCTTTGCAGGTATGTAATTTACAATATTTCCTTAAGACAGCAATTACAATTTTAAGTTTGTGAGGAATTTTTAAGAAATTTTGTTGTAGAAGGGATTCTCGTGTAACAAAACCCTTCTAGTTTGTCTAAAATTTAAAACGTGATAACCCGGTTTCGAAGTATTCTTTGATAAATTGAAGTTTTTATTTGTTTTTCTTTCAACTGTTTGAATTTTTTAAAAAATTTTCTTAAAAAAAATTAAATAAAATATTTCATAATATTTCCAAATAATAGGAAATCAAGCGAAAAAATATATTTTTTTTTAAAGAAAACATGTTTAAGTGTTAATAGACAACATTAATTTTGCACACAAAACGAAAGACTTAAGCAACAAACTTGTATTTAAAGAAAAGAGTGTAATAAATCCCACAACAACAACAACAACAGCAACATGGCATTATTTCCCTCATCCTCACGACCGCGTAGTCTAATGGAACAACTGTTGGCGCGTAAAATCGAAGCGGCAGCACAATCTGTTTCGGGGCCAGGTGGCACAAGACTACGACGTACCGATTCATTAGACTCCACCAGTAGTATTGGGTCATTGGGGTCGCTAATATTGGGTGATGATGTATGCCGCTGTGACGATTGCCTGCTGGGCATAGTCGATTTGTATGTAATCAGCGCCGAGGCAGCCAAGAAAAAGGTAAGAGTCACAACTATGTAAAATTTGCCACAACAACAGCAACAACAACAACAATTGATTGACTTACAACAAGCTATTTCACTAATTACTGGCTAATTACAACGACACTGACAATATTTCTTTTTCATTTAAACAAATACTTTTCATTAAACTACAAGAAAAATGCCCAAGAAATCCTCACCACTAAATGGACCACAACAAAAAAAAAAAAAGTTTTTTTCATGTGGTGCCAATGTATGGTTTGGCAATTTACATTGCCCGTAACATACAACACACGGCAGGTTGTCATGTTAAGGCTACAGAGACCACAAAAACCCAAGAAACGAAAAAAAAACTTAAGCAAAAAACTCTTTAAAGAAAATGTATTACCAAAAGTGTTTTTTTTTCTCCACTGAAATAGAGATAGATCTTTAGCAAAAACTTTAAAGAAACAAAAAAAAAAAAAAAAAAAAAACTATAGTTTATCAGTGGGTGATCATTAATCATTGAATATATAGTATATACAAGACACCTTTTGTGGCAAGACCAAAAACAGCTGCAGGCTGTCACAAAACTTAAACATGATGTCATTTCATTTAAATTTATTTTTTTTCACATTCAAGAGAAAATTGTTACAATTTTTTGTTGTCATAAGCAACAAGTGTTGCTTTTTCTGGGGGAGATATTTAAACAAAAATATTTGCAAAAGAAGTGATCATATTTAGAAATAAAAGATGAATGATGTTTTAACTAGAGTGACAACAATAAGGAATTTGAAACTAATAAGAAATCTTTGTAATATATTAAAAAAATATATAAATTATATATAGAGACTAGACCATAGACTAGACTATAGACTAGACTATAGACTAGACTATAGACTAGACTATAGACTGGACTTTAGACTAGACTATAGACTAGACTATAGACTAGACTATAGACTAGATTATAGACTAGACTATAGACTAGACTATAGACTAGACTATAGACTAGACTATAGACTAGACTATAGACTAGACTATAGACTAGACTATAGACTACACTATTGACTAGACTATAGACTAGACTATAGACTAGACTATAGACTAGACCATAGACTATAGACTAGACTATAGACTAGACTATAGACTAGACTATAGACTAGACTTTAGACTAGACTATAGACTAGACTATAGACTAGACTATAGACTAGACTATAGACTAGACTATAGACTAGACTATAGACTAGACTATAGACTAGACTATAGACTAGACTATAGACTAGACTATAGACTAGACTATAGACTAGACTATAGACTAGACTATAGACTACTAGACTAGACTATAGACTAGACTATAGACTAGACTATAGACCAGACAATAGACTAGACTATAAAGTAGACTATAGACTAGACTATAGACTAGACTATAGACTAGACTATAGACTAGACTATAGACTAGACTATAGACTAGACTATAGACTAGACTTTAGACTAGACTATAGACTAGACTATAGACTAGACTATAGACTAGACTCTAGACTAGTCTATAGACTAGACTATAGACTAGACTATAGACTAAACTATAGACTAGACTATAGACTACACTATAGACTACACTATAGACTAGACTATAGACTAGACTATAGACTACACTATAGACTACACTATAGACTAGACTATAGACTAGACTATAGACTAGACTATAGACTAGACTATAGACTAGACTATAGACTAGACTATAGACTAGACTATAGACTAGACTATAGACTAGACTATAGACTAGACTTTAGACTAGAATATAGACTAGACTATAGACTAGACTATAGACTGGACTTTAGACTAGAATATAGACTAGACTATAGACTAGACTATAGACTGGACTTTAGACTAGACTATAGACTAGACTATAGACTAGACTATAGACTAGACTATAGACTAGACTATAGACTAGACTATAGACTAGACTATAGACTAGACTATAGACTAGACTATAGACTAGACTATTGACTAGACTATAGACTAGACTATAGACTAGACTATAGACTAGACCATAGACTATAGACTAGACTATAGACTAGACTATAGACTAGACTATAGACTAGACTTTAGACTAGACTATAGACTAGACTATAGACTAGACTATAGACTAGACTATAGACTAGACTATAGACTAGACTATAGACTAGACTATAGACTAGACTATAGACTAGACTATAGACTAGACTTTAGACTAGACTATAGACTAGACTATAGACTAGACTATAGACTAGACTATAGACTAGACTATAGACTAGACTATAGACTAGACTATAGACCAGACAATAGACTAGACTATAAAGTAGAATATAGACTAGACTATAGACTAGACTATAGACTAGACTATAGACTAGACTATAGACTAGACTATAGACTAGACTATAGACTAGACTATAGACCTAGACTTTAGACTAGACTATAGACTAGACTATAGACTAGACTATAGACTAGACTCTAGACTAGTCTATAGACTAGACTATAGACTAGACTATAGACTAGACTATAGACTACACTATAGACTACACTATAGACTAGACTATAGACTAGACTATAGACTACACTATAGACTACACTAGACTAGACTATAGACTAGACTATAGACTAGACTATAGACTAGACTATAGACTAGACTATAGACTACACTATAGACTACACTATAGACTACACTATAGACTAGACTATAGACTAGACTATAGACTAGACTATAGACTAGACTATAGACTAGACTATAGACTAGACTATAGACTAGACTATAGACTAGACTATAGACTAGACTATAGACTAGACTACTAGACTATAGACTAGACTATAGACTAGACTATAGACTAGACTATAGACTAGACTATAGACTAGACTATAGACTAGACTATAGACTAGACTATAGACTAGACTATAGACTAGACTATAGACTAGACTATAGACTAGACTATAGACTAGACTATAGACTAGACTATAGACTAGACTATAGACTAGACTATAGACTAGACTATAGACTAGACTATAGACTACTATAGACTAGACTATAGACTAGACTATAGACTAGACTATAGACTAGACTATAGACTAGACTATAGACTAGACTATAGACTAGACTATAGACTAGACTATAGACTAGACTATAGACTAGACTATAGACTAGACTATAGACTAGACTATAGACTAGACTATAGACTAGACTATAGACTAGACTATAGACTAGACTATAGACTAGACTATAGACTAGACTATAGACTAGACTATAGACTAGACTATAGACTAGACTATAGACTAGACTATAGACTAGACTATAGACTAGACTATAGACTAGGACTATAGACTAGACTATAGACTAGACTATAGACTAGACTATAGACTAGACTATAGACTAGACTATAGACTAGACTATAGACTAGATATAGACTAGACTATAGACTAGACTATAGACTAGACATAGACTAGACTATAGAACTAGACTATAGACTAGACTTGACTAGACTATAGACTACTATAGACTAGACTATAGACTAGACTATAGACTAGACTATAGACTAGACTATAGACTAGACTATAGACTAGACTATAGACTAGACTATAGACTAGACTATAGACTAGACTATAGACTAGACTATAGACTAGACTAGACTAGACTATAGACTAGACTATAGACTAGACTATAGACTAGACTATAGACTAGACTATAGACTAGACTATAGACTAGACTATAGACTAGACTATAGACTAGACTATAGACTAGACTATAGACTAGACTATAGACTAGACTATAGACTAGACTATAGACTAGACTATAGACTAGACTATAGACTAGACTATAGACTAGACTATAGACTAGACTATAGACTAGACTATAGACTAGACTATAGACTAGACTATAGACTAGACTATAGACTAGACTATAGACTAGACTATAGACTAGACTATAGACTAGACTATAGACTAGACTATAGACTAGACTATAGACTAGACTATAGACCAGACTATAGACTAGACTATAGACTAGACTATAGACTAGACTATAGACTAGACTATAGACTAGACTATAGACTAGACTATAGACTAGACTATAGACTAGACTATAGACTAGACTATAGACTAGACTATAGACTAGACTATAGACTAGACTATAGACTAGACTATAGACTAGACTATAGACTAGACTATAGACTAGACTATAGACTAGACTATAGACTAGACTATAGACTAGACTATAGAGTAGACTATAGAGTAGACTATAGAGTAGACTATAGGCTAGACTATTGACTAGACTATAGACGAGACTATATAACTGGAGCTGATGTAATTCTTAAAAGAACTAGAACTGAACTAGAACTGAACTAGAACTGAACTAGAACTGAACTAGAACTAGAACTGAACTAGAACTGAACTAGAACTGAACTAGAACTGAACTAGAACTGAACCAGAACTGAACTAGAACTGAACTAGAACTGAACTAGAACTGAACTAGAACTGAACTAGAACTGAACTAGAACTGAACTAGAACTGAACTAGAACTGAACTAGAACTGAACTAGAACTGAACTAGAACTGAACTAGAACTGAACTAGAACTGAACTAGAACTGAACTAGAACTGAACTAGAACTGAACTAGAACTGAACTAGAACTGAACTAGAACTGAACTAGAACTGAACTAGAACTGAACTAGAACTGAACTAGAACTGAACTAGAACTTAACTAGATCTAGACTTTTTGCTAGAATTTACTTTGGCTAAGGACTAAGCTATTGCGTACACTATACAGTAAAGTATGTTCGGAAATATAAACAAAACTAAATTATGGTTAAGATTATAGACTAATTACTTTTTTTTTTTTTTATCCTAATCTTTACTTCATTAAAAATACCCACTTATTTCAACAATCTCCACAGTTGTGCTATTTTATAATAAACCATTTTTGCTAGTTAATTAAAAAAAAAACTTCTCTTTTATCCTTTAGACATTAATATTTTATTTACGTTGTCATTTCCATCATAGTTTCCCATAAATAATC